ATGATATTCCACAGTGACATCAGTCGTTTGAGTCAGGCACAGTGGTGGTACTGGATACGACAGGGATAGTGACAGAGGAGTCTGGGATGTAAGAAACGATTCTATGAGCATATGTATACCAGGCTATTGCTTCACTGGTCTAAATGCGCCTTTGTCATGTTTACTGTATAGGACAATGCTGGTTTTATTGTAATTGTCCTCATAACTGTTTGATGCAAATGAGGAGCTTGCTAGGCCAGTTCAGATGGAAGCTAATTAGGAGCCTCATTGCTAAGCATCTGGCATCACAGGTCAGAATTCCCTCCCTGACGGTGATAAGTGAAGCAGCTGGCTTTTTATGACAATTGGGCACCTTCAGAGTTACCGCTATTGGTTAGTAGACTATTTTTTCATTTTTGAACATTTGTTTATTGTATTCACCAGCTGTTTTGTGGGATTTGAACTCATATCTTCATATCATTGGTCTAGGCCTCTGGATTACTGAGCAAAAACAAAAATAAATCAAATGCATCACAAGCTCAACTACACTGACCACATTTTTTTCACCTATTATTCCTTTGATGATTTACATTGGTTCCTAGTCACTTATTCTCATGTTGAAATTCCTTTATGGCCTTACCACTACCTACCTCCCAAACCTCCTCCACCCCTATTAGACTCAAAGAACTCTCTCAGTCCTTTCAACACCAGTCTTCTATGGATTCTCCCCTACCATGTATGACCCACAGTTGGAACTCCACCTTCTGTCATTTAAACCCAGACTGCCAAAATCCTAAACCTCTATCTCTCTATATCCTTTAAAAATCTGCCTCAGATCCCTTGCTGTTTTATTGTCTTGTCTCCTGGCTTTGTTAGATATTGTAACTATTCTTCTATAGCAATATTTGGAAACACACAGTTCAAGGTTTTATTTAGTTTGATGGTTTCCACTAGGTATCACGGTTTTCCAGCATTTTTGTTTTGAAGTTGTGGTTTGATTGGTATAAAATATAGATTGGTGAGCATGAAGTCACTGTTGTGACATAGAGATAGACAGCTGAACCAAAATCAGCTTTTCTACCTCTGTACTCACAACATAGTAAAATTAAAACCTTCAAAGGCCTTCAAAAATTGACCCCATGGTTCCCAACCAGACTTTTGAATAATCAATCCCAGACTCTGAATAATCAATTCAGAACTGATGGTAGCTTGGAAAAAGTTTTTTTTAAATGCAGAAGTCAGGGTGGGGGGAGGGGGCAAGGAGTAAATGATAGGTGGCGATAGAGCTCAAAGAGAGAGACGAACAGAAATCAAAAGAACTGCAGATGCCGTAAATCAGAAACAAAAACATAAGTTGCTGGAAAAGCTCAGCATCTGTGAAGAGAAATCAGAGTTAACATTTTGGGTCTGGTGCCCAGGCCGGTTTTAGGTCCAGAGTTCTGAGAAAGGGTCACCAGACCCGAAATGTTAACTCTGATTTCTCTTCACAGATGCTGCCAGACCTGCTGAGCTTTTCCAGCAACTTCTGTTTGTGTGTGTGAGAGAGAAGAACAATTGGACAGACAAAAGAGTGGATAACATTTAGCCTATCAGAATGAATAGCTGCTAACAGGGACTATTAGTGGCTAACAATGGGTTGTGTGTAATAGCAGGCCATATGATAACAAGGCCTGGAGTGTGGGGGTTAGGTAAGGACATGGAAGACGGTGCCGCAAACCCTAAAATTGTTAAACTTGATATCGAGTCCAAAAGGCTGTAGAGTTCCCAAATGAAAAACAAGGTGCTCTTCTTCCAGCTTGCGCTGAGCTTTGCTGGAGCACTGCAGCAAGCCTGAGACAAAGATGTTGGCCAGGGAACAAAGGTGGTGTGTTCAAGTGGCAGGCAACTGAAAACTCAGGGTCTCTTTCGCAGACAGAACGTTGGTGTTCTGCGAAGCAATCACCCTGTCTACGCTTTGTTTTCCCAATGTAGAGAAGATGATGTTGTGAGCAGCGAATGCAGTAGACCAGATAGAGTGAAGTGCAAGTAAAGCACTGCTTCACCTGGAAGGTATGTTGGGCCCTTTTGATACTGTACATTCACTGCTCACATCATGGTCTCCTCTACATTGGGGAAACAAAGCAGAGACTGGGTGACCGCTTCGCAGAACACCTATGTTCTGTCCGCAAAAAAAGACCCTGAGCTTCCAGTTGCCTGCCACTTCAACACATCACCCTGTTCCCTGGCCAACAATTCTATCTCAAGCTTGCAGCAGTGCTCCAGCAAAGCTCAGCACAAGCTGGAAGAACAGCACCTCATTTTCTATTCGGGAACTCTACAACCTTCTGGTCTCGATATTGAGTTCAACAATTTTAGGGTGTGAGGCACCTTCTCCCAGGTCCTTACCCCAACCCCTGCACTTCAGGCCATGTTACCACATGGCCTATTACACACAACCTGTTGTTAGCCACCAATTGTCCCCATTAGTAGCTATTCACTCTCCTTGGTTGATCGTTATCCAATCCTTTGTCTATCTAACTGATCTTCTCTCTCTTTGGGCTCTATCCCCACATATCATTTACTCCTTACTCCCTCCCCCCACCCTATCTTCTACATAAAACCCAATTTTTTCTAAGCTACTACCATTTCTGAGGAAGGGCCACCGTACCCAAAACTTTAACTCTGATTTCTGTCCACAATAAAAGAAAATAACAAATTGGTCAGATTACTTAATTGCTTTTTACGATGTGTTCTTCCACAGGCGTAGATAATGGTTTCTTGGGTAACTTTCTGAAGATGTCAGTCAGGATCACCGTTACTGTTCACTCAGATAAATGCAATGATATTTATAACTTATTTTTTACTGTCTGAACTTCTAAAAGCATTTAAAGAAGTTTAAGCAGGAAGATTTCAATGTTCATACAGTCTCATGCATCAAAAGGCAGATTCCTTTTCTTCCGGAAAACACAGTCCAAAACCCCAAAACAACTGACCATGTCCTGACATACTGTCTCTCCATAAGGTCCCACTTACCATTCAACATCTAGCACCTCCTTGAGTTAGGTCTTTTCCAGACTTGCTGTTACCAATTATCACGTACTGACCTGTTAATTGTTAACTTCTGCTAGCTGTTTAAACATAATGCTCTTCGTCATTGATGAAGTATCTGCAGAATCTTGATCAGGAACCAATCTGCAAGTAACTTCCAGGCCCGGCCTTGCTAATGAGCAAAAAATCATAGATGTTGGTATAAAATGTTGGTTCTGAGGAAAGGTCACTGGACCCAAAACGTTAACTCTGTTTTCTCCTTCACAAATGCTGCCAGACCTGCTGAGCTTTTCCAGCAACTTTGTTTTTGTTCATAGATGTTGGTATGTTCGCCGAGGTGGGAGGTTTGATAGCAGACGTTTCATTCCCTTACTAGGTGACATCCTCAGTGCTGTGGAGCCTCCTGCAAAGCACTGTTGTCTTGTGCCAGTTTGAATTCATATGGTCTGGTTTTTGCTGTTTTTGGTAGGTGCCAGTTCCGGCTGTGCGTTGTAACGGTCAGTATATCGGGTTTAATTCCATGTGTTTGTTGATGGAGTCTGCAGATGAATGCCAAGCCTCCAAGAATTCACTGGCTGTCCTCTTTTTAGTTTGTCCAATGATAGTACTGTTGTCCCAGTTGTAAGTGTGGTTTTGTCCATCCGAGTGTATTGAAACCAAGGACATCTGGTTGTGTCGTTTAGTTGCTAGCTGGTGTTCATGGATGCGGGTTGCCAGTTGTCTGCCCGTTTGTCCCACGTGGTGTTTTGTGCGGTCTCCGCATGGTATCTTGTAGACCTGTCCATGGTATCTATTGGGTCTTTAACTCTGGTCAGTTGCTGTCTTAGTGTGGCTGCCGGTTTGTGTGCTGTCATGATTCCTAGCGGTCTAAGTAGTCTGCCTGTCAGTTCTGAGGTGTTTTTTATCTATTGTTTTGAGTTTTGGTGTGTCCTGGTTGTGTTGTCTGTTGGCTAGGCATCTGTAGGGGTATCCATTCCTGGTAAAGACCTTGTAGAGGTGTTCTTCTTCTTCCTTCTACAGATCGGGTGTGTTGCAGTGTGTAGTGGCCCTTTTGAACAGGGTCCTGACGCAGGCTCCTCATGTGAGAGTTAGGGTGGTTGCTGAGATAGTTTAAGACCTGGTCAGTACGTGTGACAAAAGTGTACAGGAAATCCACACCATAGCCAGACCATATAAATTTGAACAACAGCGCTTCACAGGAGGATCTACAGCACTGAGGATGTTACCTAGTAAGGGGACAAAACGTCAGCTATCAAACCTCCCAGCTCCACAAACACACCAACATCTACAACCAGCACCCGAGCTACAAATCTTCACCCAAACCCTGATGCAAGAATTGGTTTGGTCTGTTTTCCTTTTAATACAAGCTATTCGTCACAATCCAAAAGTCATCTTTAGCTCACAGTTCACAACTCCAAACCAAAGTTGACCAAAAAACAATGAAAAATCAGCGAGGATTCTAACAGTCACATCACAAACCTGATTGAATAACCATAATGAGTGGGCACTGGCTGAACTGCTGAAGAAAAATCTACTTAGATGCGCTTGGGCTCTTCAGAATTTGCAACACCTTATTGTCCACTACAAGAATTATTTTTATTCTTTCAGAGGATGAGGGTTTTGCTGGCAAACTCAGCATGTATAGACCATCCCTAAACTTAGCCTACCTTTCTCAATGATTAGTGTCTTGTATTTCAGTCTCAAAACATCTACAATTTAAAATGTTTCTACTATTAATGAACCAAAAATCATACTGCTTTTCTGGTTGTACCATCGTTGTACCATTGTTTGTACCTTAGAACAGCAATGAAAAGCATCCAGTTCACAGAGTAATTTCAATAGATGGCTACTCAAATGAGGCTAATAATTTTAATTTCAATCATCAATGAAAAAAAGGACCTAGTCATACCAGAGTTTAACAGATCAATTTTTGCTAAACAGTCAGTTTACATCATATCTAAAGTCACCCAGGCGACTTAGCTTTGAAAACTCACCTTTAAAACCTGACAGTAGCACAGGTGCTGAGTTAAATGGGCACTGTAGGAATACAGAATTTCTTTCCAGTTCCTATAGGCAGTGAATTACCTTAATTTACAACTCTACAGTTCCAGCCTATCTCCTGTTTTAGCTTTTCGAAGTCTGAGTCAACTATAATCGGCGGTCAATACAGTGGTTCGATTTCAAGATGTTCAACGTTGGGTTGGGGTCATTGCAATCAAGCATGATCTTTTTCGTCACTGGCCAATCTTCATCTGTACTTTTGGGCAGGGTACATTGAAATATGAATCAGGAATTGGACTCGAGTTTGATCATTTTGCTTGATTGGGGCACTGAATTCAATTGAAACTAATTGCTGCCATGATACTGAAGAGAACTCACGCAGGGGAACCGTTGCTTACGACATTGTTTCTGTAATTTTTGAATCGTGACAATAGCATTCATGTTGTATTTTCCAACGTTGATCCCTAACCATAAATCAAACCAACGATATAAAAGCGTTGCAAAACAAAATAGCTAAAAAATATCACTAGGGCCTATGTCCAGAAGAAACTTTTTTTAAATAAATTCGCGAATTTAAAGATGTTTAATCGAGCTAGAACTTAAGACTGAACAGACAGGAAGACTTCACACTTGCACATCCAAATAAACCCTCTTCTTTTGGTACAGCGATAGTAGGAACTGCCGATGCTGGAGAATCTGAGATAACAAGGTGTAGAGCTGGATGAACACAGCAGGCCAAGCAGCATCAGAGGAGCAGAAAAGCTGACGTTTCGGGTCGAAACACCGTGTTCTACACCGTGTTATCCCTCTTCTTTTGGGGGTTGTATCTGAAGTAGTGCTCTAATTGTTCTGTGGGAATGAACTTGGTTGCCACCCCCGACTAAGTCCTCCTTATCTCTTGAAAGCTAATATTTATCCAGGCCATTTGTAAAGCATTTAACTTTCCTTTGGCAGCAATGAGTCTTCGCTGACCTTACAGGGGTTGATTGACGTGGGGCGAGTTCCTGGTGCTTCGCCCCTGTCATGGCGGCAGCAGCCACTAGGGGTCGCTTCACGGCCTCTTCCCGACACGTCTCGGCCAATCAGGGGCTCCGTCTCACACGGCGCTGGCTCCCCGCCACAACCCCGCCGTCCCCTTTAGTAAAGCCGCCGCCGATTGGTCGGGCCGCGGGACGGCCATGATCGTCTCGAGCGGTTCCGCCGGGCTTTTTCCCCCAAATCTACCCCGAATTCCCGGGACCTGAAGCAGCGGTCACCCCCACCGTACCGTCTCCCCAAGGCCAACCCAACAACTCTTTCTAATAAAGCAGCCGTGTCGGCGCTGACCCCGAAAGCAGTCAGTGTCCAATCAGAAAACAAAAAAGAAATATGCAAATGAAATGTATCACGTTAGTCGGAGCGCTGAGGTCGACTCCGTACTAAAACTTCGCAAATAATCATTCTTCATAAATACTTCCTTTAGAGCCGGCCTTTTTCTCTGGTAAGTTCAGCTTGCAGCAAGCCAACCAAAATAAGGGAAAAAATTCTCCCCTCAAAACTGGGGGTGTTTTTGTTTTTTTCTATCTCTTCGACTCCCACACCCCCTCTCTTCTCTTTCCCTGCCCCCACCCTCTGTCGTTTATTGTACAAAAAAAGTCGGTTATATTGAAGGGAGTACAGCTGATATCGGAGTGGGCCTCTGTGGGAGAGGTGAAAATGGAACTTTCTAGTTGAAGCCCAAGCTGACTAGACAGCCCCGTTTCGTTGCTGTGTGTGTGTCTCTCTCTCTTCCCCTACCCCCAGTTCATCTATCTCACCCCCCCCCCCCGTTCTCCCTGTCCCCCCCCCGAGCTGCTATGGTGCTGCAGGAAGGCCAATGGCGCAGCTCCTGTCTGTGCGTTGAGTTTTTTTTCCGGAACGACGGCAGCCGCGGGCTTTCTGCCCAGACACGGGGATTCCACCCGCGCGCCGGGCCCCAGGGGCTGTTTCCCGGTGTCACCCCCCACCCCCAACCCCCACCCCCGCGCGGGGAAGGGGTGGAGCCAACTTTTTTTTTGCGGGGGGGTCTCTCCGCGCGCGCTAGCCCCAGGGGTTTCTGCCCAACCCTGAGAGGGGTAGGTGGTTCATCCGCGCGTAGTCCCTGGGGGAGGTGTTGGGAGATGGTGTGTGGGGGAGGAGGTGGGAAGGGGATTCCAGCCGTGTGCCGCTGCCACATTGTTGCTGGCAGAGCAGCAACGTGGAAACACGTGCGTGGCTTCAGGCTGCCATAGCAAAGCCCGTGTCCAGCTGGCGGGCCGGCCAGTGAGCAAAAGGGAAACGAGAGGGAGAGGAGTCACTAGGGCCCGCTTGTTGCCCTGCTGTTTATGCGGAGGGGAAGGGATTGGGGGTGCGAAAGAGGGTGAGAGGATATGCCTCTTTTGACCGTATGAGTCATTGCTCCATTGTACACCCGCGCTCCACTGAGTCACTGTCGTGTCTCGCCACTGCTAAAGGAGGCGTCGCACGAGCAAGACTAGAAAATATTCCCAAGTGTTGCACTATGTGGATCATTTCGTATACATCCACCGTCGCTTTATTGTGATTTAAATTCAATGAAAGAAATTTACCTTGCCTATAAAAACACCAAATCGTATTTGTTACAACGATTATTTAAACACCGTTTCCTGTTGAGACCAGTTTTTAGCTGTGTTGGTGAAAATATATTTCTGCCAAACTTTGTTTCTGATGCTTAGATACAATTTTAGGGCCCTGTAGCAATTAATCACATCACACTGGGGAGGTATCAATGTTAAAACCCTGCTTTATTTACTGATTTTTGCAATCTTGTGAATTTCCATTGTGCGATTCATTTAATTATGATTTATCAGTGTGGTGCAGAGGCAAATCTGGGGAATGAATTAACTTTGACAGTGACAATGAGCTACCTTTTCCTAATTTCTCGTAAATGGGATTTTACCTATTGGCTCTGCAGTTCAGTGCTGATTAGTTTTCAGTCTCATTTTAAGTGTGTTTAATCAGAATGTTGAACATAGTTTTGTAAGTACAAAGGAGTTGTGTGCCCTGGACAATATTTATCCTCAACCAATATTGCCAAAACAGTTTGTTTGTTTGTTTGTTAATTTATCTTATTCTCATTACTTTTATGGGAACTTGCAATGTGTTAATACAATAGTAACCATGCTTCCAATGTATCTAAGTGGCTATGAAGTGATTGGGGGTATTCTTAAGAAATAAAATACTTTATAACAAAATCTCTTTGCTTATCACGGACAAAGTGAAAATTAGCTTAGGCCTTGCTGACCCTTATCCAGGATGCACGGTTGAGATAAAAATAAAATTAGCGCTAAATAATGCTTGGTTATAATCTGCCTAATTTAAAACAATTCTTTTTGAAGCCAGGAGTGGTCAGTAATATTTGTACATGTTCATTCCATTAACCTCATGTTGATCCTCCATGTAATGCAACATTTTGCCTCCAATTATTTAAAATTTCACATTTCAAAGCAGTATTTCAGCATAGAGCCAACTATTATAGCACATAGAACAGCATTGAAATTCTATGATTAGTTTTGTTTTGAGATTTTTCCTGAATTTTTTCAAGCTCCAATGTCAAAAGCAAAACCAAATAAAAATCACTAAAAATGGATAGGGATCTGACCTATCCAGTTTTTCTGTCTGGAATTGAATATTTTGCAATTGTCAACATCTCATTTCCCTGCCCTCCCTCTTTCCTTCCCATCCAGAGTGAAATTAAAAACAAGTTTTCTTCATTTTTGGTTCACAAAATACTTGATATTTGGAGTGCCTATTGCTCTCTCTGCTAAATGGTCGCATAAAGTAACCCGACTCTCTCCAAATTCACACTTCAGCTGCTTTTTACACAAACCACTGCTTCAGTTTATTTTGTCCAGTTTTGAAACAGGTTTTGTTTCTGTTCCCAAAATACTATTTCCATATTTGAGGAGGATTTTTCAGCAGCTCTTACAATCCTGGATAGCACAGAGGAAACAAAAAACCTCATGACTACCCTTGCTGTATTAGTTCAATGTTCTACTGATTCACGCACTTCTAAATACTGTTTTGCTATTCACGTGCTTCAAATATACCGGTTAACGTCTTTGTTACCCTAGTTGCCCTTTGTTCAACTTTTCTTCCCTGCTACTCAAAACTGAATGCTACCAAATCCACCTGTCTACCACAATTGTTAGATATTTTAGTACCAACTTGGCTGCTGATGATCGCTTGTTCTTTTACCTAGTTTTTGTCATTTCTATGACCTTGGTGCTATCTTTGGCTTTTTTAGATCGTATTTTATTGGTTTCATAAACTAAAAGGTGTCAGTGTAATCTGCACATACAGTTATCCTCAAAGTTGTGACTGGTTAATCAGGGAATGAACAAGATTACTCATGTAGTAATCTATTTATTTTGTGTGTCCTGTTGCATTGTGAAGTAGAAATAATTTTGATTTAATGCAGGGCTTCACGGTGGTCCAACTGTTGGATTAAATGATGCATGAGATTTTGCTCTTTCAGCTGAACTGAAATATCAGAATTGTTGTTTGTGTAAGCTTAAGAAATAGATTTTGGATAATGGAAACTCAGGCTTAAGTTGAATGTTGAAAAATGTACTTTATTGGCTGAGTTCTGAAGAAATGAATAAGTGGGAAGGACTATACAATGAACCAATGTTGCAAGCCTAGGTTAGATTTGTTGACTAAAGGTATCAATATTTCATTTAGAATAAAGTGAATATTGAAACATTTTAATATATTTTAGTTTACCTTTTAATACTTTGAGATATTTAAATGATCACTTATGACTTGATCAATAAATGTACAATCTCCAGAACTTCTGAATTATAGTTTGTACTTTGAAAGGTAGCTGTTCGGAGAAAGGCTTTGTATTGGGATGCTAGAGAATTCATTGGCAGTATTAATGATTACCAGGAATATACCAGAGATGAGTTTGAAATGTGGGAGATGAACAGTTTGTTTGTGGGGCTATTGCATTTTTATATTGATTTTGTTTTTCACCTCTATTTGTTCTCATTAGTGTGCTAATCAGATAAATCATACCTTACATAAGTAATAGAACAGAATGCAAAATATAGTGTTACAGCTACAGAGAAGGTGCAGAGAGAGATCAACACTAATATATATGAGAGGTCTGTTCATAAGTCTGATAACAGTGGGGAAGAAGCTGTTCTTAAATCTGTCAGATTTTTTTCAAACTGTTGTATCTTCTGCCTGATGGAAGAGGGTGAAAGAGAATATAACCGGGATGTGGAGTGTCTTTGATTATGTTGGCTGCTTTCCCAGGCAGCAGGAAGTATGGACGGAGGCAATGGAAGGAAGGCTAGTTTTTGTGATGGACTGGGCTGCATTCACAACTCTCAATAATTTCTTGCGGTTTTGGGCAGAGCAGTTGCCACACCAAGCTGTGATGCATCTGAACAGTATGCTTCGTAAAAAATTAATAAGAGTCATTGTGGACATGCCAAATTCCCTCAGCCTCCTGTAGCATTGACATGGATGGACCAGGATAGATTGTTGGTGACATTTACTCCTTTCGGCACAGTTGTGCAGAAAATCTGGTTGCAAAGGACAAGCCAGACCCTAGAACTGAACACAAGTGATGGGACAATGCGGCATGTTGGTTCCGTGGTTAGCACTACTGCTTCATAGCACCAAGGACCTGGATTCTATTCCACCCTCGTCTGACTGTCTGTGTGGAGTTTGCACATTCTCCCTGTGTCTGAGTGGGTTTCGTCCAGGCACTCCAGTTTCCAACTTCAATCCAAAAATGTGCAGGTTAGGTGGATTGGCAGTGATAAATTGCCCATAGTGCCCAGGGATGTGTAGATGTATCAGTCATATAAAATGCAGGATTACAGGAAATAAGATTAGGGGGGTGGGGGCCTGAGTGGGTCAATGAGGTCGCAATGGGCCGAATGGCCTGCTTTTGCACTATAGGGATTCTGTGACTGACCAGTTTCTCCTACTCTCAGATTTAACAGATTGACAAAATTATTAACAAA